ACGCATAGTAGTGACGAGCAGCCGTTCTACTACGAGCCGGTCGGTCCGCCGCCGTCGCGTCGGTTTTTCGGAAAGCGGTTGCGTCAGCTCGAAAAGACGCGTCGTAGCTTTCGTATCGTTTGTTTCCGACCGTTTCTGCGTGAAATAAACGTGAAAATAAACGGTCGAAAAAGGAGAAGAATGGAGGGCAAAGTGATCCCATCATCGCGCGTCACAAGAGAGGCTCGGATATTAAGACGCGAGAGAAACTCGCGCGGCGGAAAGGGATAATGATGAAAGAAAGAATGACGACATTCTGCGTCGTGAGAGCAGCAATGACGTGGTGGAAGTCTGCGAGAAATCGCGAAGCGACAAGTCGTATCGTGTATAAATCACGGCCGATCCGAAGCATCGCGCACAGTGGATAAGCTATTTTCGCGTATTTTCGTATATGTACCACTTCGGAGTGAACGCAAGCGTGTGAATCACCCGGCGTGTTTCGCGCGTGTGAATGCGAAACCGTGGACCATAACTTACGACTTTGCGAGCGACGACGACGACGACGACGACGATGACGTCGTCGTCGCGACGATGATACGCGGGGAACGCGTCGTGCGGACGATGTGCGCGGGAACACCTGGCCTTCTTATCGGAAATAGGCAGAACGCATACCATACCTAGCCAAACGACATACCTGTCCACCTCGCCTACCCACAATGCACTCTCTGTTCTTTCGCACTGAGCACTACAGCGTCTCGTGTGTGTGTGTGTGTGTGTGTGTGTGTGTGTGTGTGTGTATGAGTGAGAGAGAGAGAGAGTGCTCCTTATTTTGCTTTTCATACAAAGTTTTAACGAGGATAAAGAAGCATTTAATGAAGACGATAGGCAGAGGGGGGAGAGCGAAGGAGAGAAAGACAACATGAGAAAGAGAGAAGGTAGGAACCGTCGTATCTGAAATTTACAAAAGTAGGAGGGATTCTTCAGACGAAAGAGCGATTAGCATCATTATTACCGTCTCATCTCACGAGTTACCGCGAGTTTCGACGGCTGGGGAAAGAACGAAGAAGAGAAGGAGAAGAGCGGGAGGAAGATGAGGGCTCGTGAAGTTGAGATAAAGAGGCTATTCAATCTCTGAAAATCTCGTCATGTACCGCATCGATATATATACGCGCGCTTCGCGTTCAATCGTATTGCGGTTAACAGAGAATGTTTTTGTGGGAGTCTGGAAGATAAGGCTCAACCTTTGGCCCCGATGTACAAAACCTCTTCCGCTCGCCCAGCAACTCTGAATCTAGCTCTTTCTCCCCCTCTCCCTTTCTTCCTCTCTCTTTCTTGGCTACTGTTTTTCAGGAACTCCCTCACCTATTTTCTCTTACTCTCTTTCTCTTGTTGTATATCTCGGGGGGGATAATAAAAAGTGTCATTGCACATCGACTTGTACTGTAGATAATTTTAGATGCGTCGTATCGCGCGCACCTTGCGGTCGCACGTTGCGATCGTTAATCAAAGAAATGTCGCCTCGTCGGGGAATAAGTGCGAAGCGATTGAGAAGCGGAGGCGGGGGGCGCCACCGGTTCGTTCTATCCGGTAACTAATGTCGAAGATAAGATAGCGCGGAGACTCCCCTTGTGAAATATTAATAAAAAGAATGACCCGTTTTCCTCTTTTTTCGACGTGGCAGGATCGGAGAGTTTCTCCGAGAAAAGGAGAAATAGAGAGAGAGAGAGAGAGAGAGAGAGAGAGAGAGAGAGAGAGAGAGAATGTATAAAAAAAAGTAATACGACATGCTTCGATTGATTGAACAATTTTTGCAGATAAGGCGCGGGGTGAGGGGATGTGAAGTATCGAAATTAATTTCTCTCGTGAGAAATATTGAGACCGCCGCGGAATCGTGCGCCGATCGTGCGGCTTTCTTTATCGACAAATGACGCTGGCCGTTTGTTCGTTTTACTGTTGCAACAATGGGGGAAGGTCCCTCTTGGTTGCTGCAGCCGCGTACACGCCCGAGGCGTATATTTTCTTCATCGGGTGATTAATCGGGGTCGCGGCTTTGCATCTCCTCGTCCACAGATAAACGCGGTGCTTCGGCCAATTCCTCTTGTTCGGGCCTCGAAGGTTCCTCGTTCGGAATTTTGCATTCGGATAATGCGCTGTATTTCGTGTAACGCGACTATGTTGCTCGTCATCGTGCCCAGCCGTTCGCGAAACACGATTTATCTTAGGAAATAGGGAAAATAATTATTAATAAATAGTAATACACACACGATCGTTCTCGTAATGTACGATCTTTGAATTGAATCGAGAAAACGATATGTCATCTGATCAACGGAAAATAATAATAATAATAATTATTATTATTATTATATAATAATAATTATTATTATTATTATATAATAATAAATATTATTATTATTTCTACTGTTGTTATTATTATCGTCACATCGATACGGATAAAAAAAACGAATGTTTCGATGTTAAGGAATTTTCCGTACGCAGATTCCGATCGCAGATATATTTTTCGGCATTGTTATACGAGGCTTGCTATATTTTAAGACGTTCAGGAAATAATCTTCGACGGATGGTATTATCAGCAACGCGCCGGGGCACCCTTGTGTATTTCTTCTATTTTTATTTACATTGTTCCAAAGCCTGGTTGTGATTGACTGTACTTGGACCTTTGATGCAAAAATATGTTTTTTAATAGAATTCGCGCGGAGCGAATGACAGTGGCAGATAATCCAACGAGCCTGACCTTTCCAATTCGATTAGGTAACGTCAATAAGGTCGGCTGAATGTTAAACGGTCGATATACCGCCTTCGGAGATGATACCGCGTGCGGCTTTGGATGAAGGCCGTCGTGCGTTAAAGCGACCTCCCTGTAGATTTCTCGTGCGAGGAGGGTGCTTTGTGTTGTCGGACTGAACTCTGAGACCGCGTCAGTACAAATAGGTTATATCTCGAGAAATACACGCGTGAATTTCTACATGAAAATTTCGAATGACGACAAAACTCTTCTGTCGCGCCGGGGATTCCGTCATAATTAATATCGCGGTAGTATTGCGAAGCGTTCCGTATATTAATCATACAGTCAGATGCGCGACGATAACTGAACTTTGTCGGATGAGCACAGCAATCTCAGCAACCGGGATCAGACCGGTCTTGCGGAGGGTAATACGTGACATTCCTGAGGTTTTCCCTCGCGCGTCGGGCACGTACGTGCGGCAGATTACTCATAGTCGCGTGGACAATCGTGTTACGCATCTGCTTACATTCGTTGTGATCGACCGATATTAACGTCGCTCGCGATGAGACATTAGTCTATTAAAAACAGAGAGAGAGAGAGAGAGAGAGAGAGAGAGAGAGAGAGAGAGAGAGAGAGAAAAATGCGAATGTTTCACATCTCGTCTCGCGATTAACCGGAAAGATAAGCACTGCATCTTCAGAGAGAGGCGATCTCTGGAAAGAAAATAGTTCGTTATTTCGTTTCTTTTTACTCGTGTCCTTCTTCTTTAATTACCAGCAAAAGTAATTCGGAAATATTCTACATAGTTAAATTAATTTGTATTCTGCAAATCCCGGGTTTGTCTACCGGCGAGCGCGACAAGATTGCAGACCTAGGATCGACACGATCCGTGCATGTCGGTTGGTCCTGCCACGAGCTCAGCGTGACCCTCGGCGATTAAAAATAATATTTTTATCTCCGAGAGAGAGAGAGAGAGAGAGAGAGAGAGAGAGAGAGAGAGAGAGAGAGAGAGAGAGAACAGCTCGCGAAACCATTCTCCTCGTTTCTTTGCTCTCTTAGCCCTGTTTCTCTTCTCCTTCTCTTACTCTCGCTCTTGTTCTCTCTCTCTCTCTCTCTCTCTCTCTCTCCTCTCCTCTCGTACATGCTTCGTAACGATGCAATGTCCATCCGCCGCTGAATGCGTGAGTGCGTGTGCCACCACCAACGACGACCAGATAAGAGCACGTGGTTATTTTTGTAACACACCGGCTAGCAACAGTTTCTCGGTACCCCAAAGGCGCGTGTGTCCTGCGCTTCTGTCGAATCGCTCAATCGATCTCAACACTGCGGCATTGTCGCGCGAATGAATTCGACCGCTGCTGGAGATCGAATATGATGCGACCACGATGCGTTCTGTTTTAGTCTAGCAGCCAGTCGAATCACGAAGAACTTCTTAGATTTAGAAATGCAGCTATTCTTTGTTGCATCATGATTTTTAGGTGTGTATATATATATATGTGTGTGTGTATTTTTTTTTGTTGAGAGAAGGAGATTATATGAGCAACTATGTGCGTAACGCAGGACATTACCGCGCATGTATATGTGTTGAGACACAGGAATACAAATTGATAAATCATTTTCTGAGCAGATACCGAAATATATTCGATAGCGCAACACGGATCTCGATAAGATGTGTGCTTCGAGTTCGAATGAAACGCTTGAATGCGCTTTTCCAAAAACATCTGTTGTCATTTATATTAGCGCGTCAGCGATAACAACTTTCTCACATAAAGATAATATTCACGTGTGTTTGGATTAATTTATACTTCGGAATCTTGTGGTACACATGATTATGCAACTTGCTACTGGCGATTTTGTTTGTTCTCGCTGTTTACAAAGTAGCAAAATCATGTTTAAGAAGATAAGCGATATACTGAGTGAAATAATCAGTCATTTTATTATAAGAGGAATTCCATTTTTATTCTTCTTACATTTCCGTCTGCGGAGTGGTGATCTCTGTCAGCAACTGTGTAGCAAGAATAAAGAGAGAAGAAACAATTTTTTCAGAGAAACAAACTACCTTAGACTGGAAGAGAGAAACATATTGTAAAAATTAAAATTCTATGATTTATATATTTTGCGCCATTGATATCGGCTGACGATGTCCCTGTAATCGTTGACTCCTGAATGAATCCTCACATATTTTATGCGCGGGGTGTTTCGATCCTAGAACAAACATGAGATTCCCAACTATTCTCCGACATTCCGTCACACAGTTTGCACGTGAATCTTTTCGCAGTGTTGCTCGACTATGTCGAGGGGACTGCGGAGCCGACGTCGCAAACTGCCAGAGAGGCGGTCATCAAGCAAGAAGAGGGGGAGGCGACGACGGCAGCGACAGTGGCCGCAGTAACGATAAAAAGCGAGGACGTCATCGAGCACGAAGTCAACCAGCGGCAAGAGCAGCAGCAACAGCAGCAACAACGGCAAGTGGCGTACGTGTCGAGCGAAGAGGTCGGGAAGGAGAGTGTGGGCGTGCTGAAGGCGGGACAGCCGGAAATGGAAAATGGCGCCATAGTAGAGTCGGCCGGTGCTGAAGCAGTTGCTATTGCGGTTGCCACTGCCGGTGATCATGCCGGGGACCCTAGCGCCACCTACACTCTTCATCAGCTGGGCTACCATGCTGCAAACATCATTCGAAGGTGAGCGCTACAGCAAGAACGGTCTGGCCGAATATACGTTAGCGTCGAGCGGGATCTGATCATAGAAATGTTCGCGTGCTATTCTGCAGTTCGTAGTGCGAGAAGTTCGGCTAACCTGTGCTGAAATGCTATCGCGAGCAAAATCTTCGTTTAAAAGATCCAAATAGTTATTTTCACTTTTTTAACCCTGAAACAGTGGCTACCTCGCAGAAGGCTCACCCCGTTACGAGGGTGGCGGCATAAGGGAGGAACAGCAACAGGCCTCTCAGTTATCCCACCCGTCGCACCACCACCACCGCCAACAACAGCAGCAGCAGCCGCTGGCGCCGCCGTCGCAGCACCCGCAGCACCAACAGCAACAGTACGTCCAGCTCGCGGCAAGAGAGGTCCCGGTTCCCGAGGGAGGGGATAACCGGCACTCGACAGAGGCCTCCGTCGTAACGGAGGGAAGCAGCGCCGGCAGTCACATGCCTCACTCCACGATGCATCGCTACAGTACCGAGACGCTCTCACCGACCACGACCGATCATCATCAGCACCATCATCAACAGCAACAGCAGCAGCATCACCACTTGTCCGAAGTGCATCAGCACGGCGCGTTGTCGGCCCATCGTCACTTGGACGATCAGCAGCAGCAGCAACAGCATCATCATGAGATAGAGACGGACGAGGACGTGGAACGTGGAGTAAGCGGCATCACCGCTGCTATGAGAACCCGGAGCGATTATCTCGGTGTCCTCTTCCCCATCAATTCGTCAAATACCGCGGGATCCGGCAATGGGCCCAGCAATCATCACCATCACTCTCACCACTTGGACGACGTGCTGTCGGAGGATTCTTACTTACAGCATCATATTCGCGTCGGCGCTACCACGACTGGCGGCGCCGGCGGCGGCGGCGGCGGCGGCGGCGGCGGTGGTGGTGGTGGTGGTGGTTCTCCGTCGGTGAGAACAGGCGGTTCACCGACTCCGAGTCACAGTCCACACGATGATCAGGTGATATCATCGCCGCATCGCCAAGTCCAGGAAGCCGGCTACAGCCCGAATGATCAGGGCAGGTTGCAATCCTTCACTCATCTGACGGCCATGCAACCGTCGTCGGTGCAGTCGAATCACGGACTGCAGGAGTCCGAGCGTGTGGCCGATCAGCTGTACATGGACACGCTCTACACGCACCACGCGACCAGCACCCCGCATCACCATCAGGAGCACGACCAGGGCCCCTCCACGCCGCACTCGCCGAGCGGTCCGCTCTCCAGGTTAGTGACAATCTTTATCGTTATCGTAGTCGCGTGCTGCGGATGCATATGTCAGGTGCGAGCGAGATTATAAGTCGTCAGCCGGCCCGCCGGCCTTGCGAAGGTACAGCGAGGCTCGCTTTCCTCATGGAAAGGCTCTCTCATTGTTTTTGCCGCGGAAAATAATCGGGATTCGGATGGATATCAGTGAATAGATAGTGCTGAATTCGAAATATTCATTTTCTACTTGACTTTGTCGTAATTTTAGAAAACGCGTCACAGTCGTCAAGATTGTTTTATTGTCGCAAGATTGTTCGCGAGTACGCCGCATTTAGCGACGTAACTGTGTCGAACTGTGTCATTCGCTGCGCTCCGCCGTGGCGTCGTTCGTTGACACCGTCGCGATGTTCTTCCGCGAGGTTTGCGGTCTTTTCCTGCGCCGGAAAATTGTTTCGCTCGAAGCGCATCAGCATTTACCGGGAAAGCGATCCAACCGTCGCTTCCCAGACGCGAGATGTAACACAATATGTGCGTCATTCGATCGCCGTCTTAATTGGCATCCCCGCGAAGTTCGCAGTATCGCGGACTTCAGCACCGCGCGCGCTTCCACGTGCGATGGAACTTTAAAGCGGCTTTGCGGTCAGATGAAACGGGAGACGGTGCCTTCGCACTCGTGAATTTTAAAGCATCATCCTGAGAGGGCTCGGCCTCTCGACCGCTGAAGGATCGGCAAATATCACACAACACAGTCGTTTCGTGTATCCGCCATAAACCTGAAAATTTTGCCCGGGGAATAATTCCTGCTTCCCTTTTTTTTCTTTTTGCTTAAACACGATCAGACGTTACCTGGCTTACAAAGTGTGAGGACTGCCTAGGATGTGTTCTTTCCGGGCTGTGCCAAAAAATATTTACTCGTAGACTATAAGGGTAGTTCCGCCGCGCGCGCGCGCATGCAAGGACTCTCTGTGTGCATAGGCGACGCAAGCTCGAAACAAAGCGCAACCGTCGATGGGTGCGACTGCAACAATGCAGCTCGTTCTTGGCCCTATGCTAACAACCGCGTGAAGAAACGAAGATTGTCTCCGCCCTCGAAGTGTTTGTTGAATCGTCTCGGGCACGAGCTCGCGCGGCCGACGTGCCCCGGGGGTATCCAAAGTAGTACAGTACAGCGTTCGTGTGTCGAGAGAACTCTCTTCTCGCCGATTCTCTTCTTCCTCGCGGTCTAATCCGCTCGCTCGCTAAGGATAAGGGCCTCTATTCAGCGATCGAAGTAATCCTTGGATCGTATTGTCCACTACCCTCTAATTCGCGGAAGGATTTCTTCCGAGAAAGTAACGAAGACGAGATCGTTCGCGAGAACGCATGTTGCGAGAGAGAGAGAGAGAGAGAGAGAGAGTCGAGTGCGTCATATCCAAGGTTCGATGTTGATTCACTTGATTGGCGCGCATTCCCGTATACACAATGACCGCGTCGGCTTTATCTTTATTATATGAGACAGTCTAAAAGGGAACGCTTTTCTCTCTCTCTCTCTCTCTCTCTCTCTCTCTCTCTCTCTCTCTCTCTCTCTCTCTCAGATCGCCGAAAGGGAGTGAGCGCGCCTTTAGCAAACACGAATTCGCAGTTCCATCAATCCTCCTTTTCGTTTAGTCAGGATCTCAGAGGGGAAGGAAGGGAGCTTGCGGTTGAGAGGGATATATTTTTAATACGCGAGACACTTGATATATCTCCGCGAAATATCATATTTGAACACCAGCTACAATTGATAAGCCCGATATGTTGCAATATCTTTTACTTTACACTTACTTTTCGATTTCGTTTCTTATCGCGTCCCTTGATTCCCCATTGATTTTTCGTTTCGCTCCGTTCGATTTTTACACGATTTTTGCACGATCGGTACAGTCCTTATCTGGCGCACTCGATCTGCATTCGATAAGGGTTTATTGACCGATCAGTGCGATCGACTGATAAAATCTCGTCGTCTATCGTTTCACGCGGAGGTAAAGCAGTCACATGATGATCGCAATAATTTTCATCGTGGTTAATGTAATCGATAAGGAGAAAAAAAGAGACGGGGAGACAAAGTCGCATGTTCACATTTTAAGAGATTCATGTTTGTGACCCACTCACGCACTGTACACGTGCACGGGCCACGACCTTCGAAATGATATCTAAAGTTCGAGTGCAGATCGCGGTTCGCTTTTATAATCGTTTCTTTTTAGCACCGTTTGCTCTTTTTTTCGTACGACTGATTCGAAGGAGAGATAGCGCGAGTGCAGAGAATGTATTCGTTACATTATGCAATCGCCCGGCGAGGATTGCGCAAAATTTTGCCTTGGCACCACGCTCCTCAGAAAGTGTAATCGTGGCTCGTCATTATCGGACCATCGCGAGCCTGTCCTACGTCAAATGTCGGTTAATTACTACAGCTCTAGACGCGATTAATTATTCATCATTGCCCGCAGAAAAGGCTGTCATTATACGGCCCGCAATGAAGCGTAAACCGCGCTTCGACCGCGAAGCGGAGTCGATCGATATTCACAGAACAAATATTGTGATTAACGGTAGTTGACGACAATTCATAATTTTGCAACTTTGACCGTTAATTGCACTACCCACCCACCACCGGCTGCTATCACGGTGAGTGCATGCAAACGCACGCAGCTGTCACCGTATCCAAAGGTGATCCCGGGCATTTGTTTTCCTTCGCTCTGTGTCCACGTGCGGCCGCCTTTCGACGCGAGCATGCCGGCGGAAGTGGCACGTGCGGGATTCCGCTTTGAGGGACTTCCCGCCAAAGCGGGAACCTGTCCTCTCGGCAATTTGCCGTGCGACCTGTGAAAACTTTCGACAGACGAGAGCTGTTTATTTTCGCTTCGCGACAAACACCATTTTCCGTGATGTCGGATCGGGCCGATTGATTTTCCGTCCGGACGCGCCGCGGTCGAGAGAGAGAGAGAGGGGGGGAAGAGAGAGAGAGAGAGAGAGAGAGAGAGAGAGAGAGAGAGAGAGAGAGAGAGAGAGAGAGAGAGAGAGAGAGAGAGAGAGAAATTCGATCGCATTTCGGACTCTTCCGTATGCTTTTTTCCACAAACTCGATTTATTCCCAATTTTCTGACACTACTCCGAGCTTGCCTCGAGCGTGCACGTGTCGGCGTCGGCGTCGACGCTAAAGTCGGCGGCGGTAGAGTGGTGGCGATGACTCAAAGCCAGGACGATGCGGACGAATCGTGCCGGCCACGACAGCATAGAGGCAACCCTGAATAGTGGGGCGTTTCGAGTGGTCGATCGCGACGAGTGGGGGCACCTCGTGACGGGCGCAATCGGGGAAGATGAAGTTGGGGAAGGCTACGGTATGTTCTCGTGGAATAGCAAGGCGGCGGTCGGGTGGGGAAGACGTCGCAGAAATTAAGTGGGGGTAATTTTCCGTCGACCGTAGATCGTAGTCGAGAAGTAGGGAAGAGCGAGCGCAGGAGGGGAATTTCTGACCACCTTCTTAGGTCCTCTGGCACCATTCGGTTGGAACTCGACGTTTCGTGTGTTCGTTAGGTCATATACCGTTCAGTTCTTGTCTGCCCGGTGACAGATACGGGGCTACGGCACATTCTCCTTTCTCTTTTTCCGCTTCAGTTCTGTGTCTTTTTTTCTTGTCTTTCTTTTTTTTGTTCATTTCTCTCCCTCGCTGCTGGACCAGCTAGACGAGGCAAGTCAAGTCCTCGACGGACAACGACAGAGGAAGAAGAGGCACGAGGGGCGAAGAGGTGTAGTAGAATAGAAGAGTTATCGAGACATCAACTTGCGCCTGTCAAGATGCAGTGAGTCCTTTTCTGTTCAGAGATTGTTTTACCGATTATATTTTGTCATTTCTATGTTGCGTCCTCGCGTTTCTGCTCTCGCGCGTCTCGCGCATTTCCTCCTGCCTTGTCGAGTGATATGGTCGTTACTTTCTTTCGGCGACGACGTACAGTTATGTTCAAAAATTAGTCCGTGCAATTACCTCGAGAATTACGAGGAAACCGCATATATATCTTGCGTAATTTAATAAATATTGCATATATAGAGATCAGCGTCTTTAAGGTGATTCGTTAGACGTGGATCTTTCTGTTGCAAGTTATTACGTTAACTCCAATCGTCGAAACTGACATTAAGCGACTACTCTCGATGTTATTCTTACTTTTTTTTTTATCGATCAAGTGTGCTACTCGTAAAACCGAGCTAGCTGCGTCGCCAACTCGGTTAACATAAAAATGAGGTGAGCGACAAGCCGATAACAATTGGCGCGACGACAGCGTAAATAAATGCGACGTGAACGAAATGTCGCGCGCACCGTTCTCTTGCGGCAGCGCGATTAATTTACTTAATACATTGGCGTTTGGAAAGCGTCTTCATACAAGATCACTTTATACAAGGTCACTCGTAGCCGATTTTCCCGCTTCGTCAATGTTTATACACGCGCGTTTGTAGTTGATAACTACCAATCATCTGCTGACGGATACATCACTAAATATTATTCAAAATTAAAGGAATGCACGGTACACGTGCAAACGTTGCAAATTTCTGTTTTGTTTCCTTGACATCTCGCTCTCGTAATTCTTAGAAGCGTATTTTGTTTATTTTGTAATCTTTTTACGTTTTTCGATCTATCGGGTGTGTCAAATAACGAGATACACTGACACGATTGATTCTCGCGTTGTGTCAACTCCGTATGAAACGATCGACGATGATATATCTAGAGCAGTTTGAATGCGACTAAGCAAATAAAAAATAGTATACCCTCCTTATCTCTTCGTGGTCGCACGAGAGATATCTACCGTGTTGCGGGATTCTCGCGGTGGCGCGAAATTCTTGCTACATTGAGATCACTCCGATGCATCCGATGAGAATCCCCGTAATCTATATCTTCGCTCGCGAGGTGGAAGGGAGAGCGAAGAGCGCGTTCCTCTCCAAATGTTGTTCAGGTCAGGCACAAGGTTTTAACCTTGCAAAATCTCACGTTCTTAAATTGATCGTCAAAAAGTGCAAGTAGACGCGCGATCTTATCGTTTCGCTTAATGTCACAAGCGGACTTCACTCTCCAGGGAAGTTTGATATCGTGAAATTCGCCCCGATATCGTTATGCCGATATACTTTGCCGGATAGACAGAGGTTATTCTCGAAATAGAAGAGAAAAATAGAAAATGGGCAAGCGCGTCGTACGCGATGAGAGATTTTAATTCTGTCGCGCGTTCTAGTTCCACTCGCCTGATGAAGAATTTATCTGAAGAATTCTAAAATTTCGCACTGACTTCCGCGTCGATATTTGCCCTCGGCAAATTCGCGCGCGCGCGCGCGCGCATCTTTCATCCCTTCCGGACACGCACACGCGCGCGTTCTTATACTCGGCCATCGGATACTTATCGTCCTCGTCTTTATAAATTTACTCCGCACCCCACCTTCTTCCGCGAGCCATCTCGCGTGAGAAGTCTCTCTCTCTTATCAGCTCCTCGGTGGATTCAGATAGTGCCACGACAGCAGGGCTATAACCCCGTTGACACTAAACTCGCTATATTGTATTTCGCGAAATTCGCACTCCTCGCAACGACCGCGCAAGGAAGACAACCCTCGCGTCTCTCCGATGTCAATTAGCGCGCGAACTATTTGTCCTTCTGTCTCGTGCTCGTCGTTCGACTTTGTCGCGCTTATAATTTCGACCGGCTACTCTTGAACATCTCTTCGCGAGATGTTCGCGGGATCTTCCTTCAGTGTGTCGCGAATTTTCCCGACTCCAAAATAACTTGTCTTTCCCTTTCTGTCTTTCTCTCCCCTCCTTTTCCTTTCCTCTTTTTTCTGCTTCTGTTTCTTTCCTCTTCCTTTTCATTTTTCTCTTTTTTCTTTTTGCCCTCTTATTTCCGTTGCTTTTCCACATTACAATTTTCTCGTCAAGGATCGTTGTTACTGCGGTCGTACCGGTTCTATCGTCATTTCTATCGTTGAAATCTCGCTCGGTCGGTCCTCATTGGTCTCGTATAGATTGTCTAAATAATCATCCCGGTTATTACATCTCTCGAGTGCCACGTGAGATGAAGAAATGGAGATCGAGATTACGAGCGGCGGCGGCAATTAAAAATGCGGCAAAGCTTCCCAGAAGAAACCCGAGATATGCTATTGAGCTCTCCCCCGTGCGGCCGTTACGCACCCATAGAATATGCGTTCACACGCACGCGCCGGTGCCGCGTCTCGTGCGTTCTCGATTCCTCTTAGCGTAACGTAACGTCATTTCGAGCACTGTCTTTTTTTTTTTAACAACAACGTTTTGAATCTCTGAAGCCTCTCATTCTTGTAATATTTCTGCATTTTTAATCCGTAATTTCATTAGCGATTCGTTACGCTTCGATATTTACAGAACGCACAAAACATCGGCTCGTGTTCATCCCTTATTTTTTCTGTATTTTTTTTTTTTTCTTTTCCCCTATGACCACTGCCGTGCGGCTTTTTTCTAGTCGGCCAGAGAGCACAGCAAGTCTCTTCCGTCAAGCCAACAACTCCGGACTCGCCGCGTCGGTCGTTACATCGTAAAACGCATTAGCAGGGATCGCGCGCATCGTTGCACCGAGCGTGCCGTTGCAGCGACGTTATGCAGCGCGTGCCGTGGTCGTAATGCCGCGCTTCCTCTCGTACCAGCTTTACAAAGTACCCGGTTGCACCTGGTACAATCGTCGTCGGGGTAGTGCAAGACCAGTTTTCACGTAGGAAATCGCGCTCGGCTCCTGTCGCTCTCTGCGACACTTCGTCTTCCTCGTCTCCGTCGTCGCCGCCGCCGCCGCACTCGTATTGCATCGGACGGCTGACGTTCCGCGGCACTTACCCGATGCACTTAAGGCATATCCTCGTGCCTACCGAGCTTGTGTCAGACGTACGACACATCCTAGACAATCGCAACCGTTAGGTGACTCTCATTCACCGGTATTTGCCGGCACAAGATGCACTCGCGCGTGATTGAAAACTCGCGTGTGCAAACTCGAAGTTGCGTTCTTTGTCGAAGCGCAGGAATTCAGCGACTCCTGAGGGGGGGGGGGGGCGAAGGAACGAAAACTCAGGTGTCACTTGTAGCTAAAATTACCTCGTACCGTAAAATTCCGCGCGATATGAAATTCGATTTCTCACCTGCGTCATCGTCGTCGTCAGCGACGGTGTGGAGCTATTCCTGATGTCGATCGCGCCGTCGAAGTCAGCTCATTCTCTCTCGCATGCGCGCGACCTATCTTAATATTACGTAAACGCAAAATTGCCTAAGCAGGCTTCCTGCGACGGTCAAATCGCGCATCGGGTGTCGTGTTCGCGAAGTTGGCTTGCAAATTTCGTGTTTGTTACACTTTAGCCAGCAGTCCGAGGTGCACACTTTTCTCTCGCGTTCTTTTCGGCTAATCGGTCACGTGCCACGTCGCGATCGCCACCACGTGGCGCACGCACGTGCGATGCGTCGTTGAAATTCCGTCAGCACTTCAGTCGGACATCGATGAAAATATCGAAAAGCCTGACAAGAAGAATCTCGCCTACGCGCGGCGGTCATCATATCGAGCTGACGCTCGCTCTTTCCGGTACGTTCTTTGTACGTCACATCGTGCACGATTTGCAACACTTGTTGCTCAGCTCCGCATCGCATCGCGTGGCGTGGCATGGCGTGGCGTTGCGTGGCGTGGCGTTGCGTCGCGTCGCGTCGCGTCGCATCGCATCGCATCTCGGTCCGTCGTCATCGTCGCACGCGCGCGCTTCTCTCGCCGCGAAATCACACGCTTATCGCTGTTTATCGCTTTCTGGACCGACCGAGTTTGGATGATACCACGTGGAGTGGTACCGCGGGAACCTCCGACATCGCGGGCGCGGCTGCAAAGGTGGCCGCGGACACGTACCGGCGCGCAGAAACGTGCCCGGGGCAGCGCGCGGCCGCTCAAGGCCGCATCCGTATTGACATCACATCATCGCGAACGTACGGCAGCGGTTGCGTTTGTTTTAAGCCCCGTCTGCTTCTTTGCCTTGTTTGAAACACGTTAATGCGACCGAGATAAAGCGCACGTGCGCGAGCGAGCGAGCGCGTGCCGTGCCGTACGGCGAGCGCACATCGCTGTGACGTGGCCTTCCTTCTGCCGTGCGTTAATTAATTAGTAAGGCGGGGAAAAACGAAATTCGAGAAAGGCCTTGAAAAAATACTGCCGAGACGTTTCTCGAAGCGGCGACTTTTCGGCGACTTCCCGGCAGGAGACGTATAGTATTCAGGTACATGGCTGACCGCCAATGCTCCCGTAGGTTATCCGGCCCGGTCTCTCGTTTAAGAAATTTTCCTCGCGAAACGTTCGGAAAGAGAGATCAGATCTGACTCATGTCCTCGGAAGAAGAGAGAAAGGATTTGACGAACGGTTTGATGTGACGCGTCAGTGCTCCTGGCCTACGACTATCGATAATTCCTGGAACTGCTCCGGAAAGTACTCTCGTTCTCCTGAGGGGGACATTCCACATTCTTTAATGGGTTCACTTAAAAGCTGCGCGGAGCATCGGTACGCGGAGAACCATGATTCGTGGTCGTGACCCCCCTAATGTCTCTCGCGTGATCCTTATTCTACTCAGCCGTTCAGGTAGACCCACGATGCTGTCGGCTCTGCTCACCGGAGCAGGTATAAACAGCTTGTAGTAAACGATAATGGAGTAGCCGTGTCGAGGCTCTCACTAAGCAATGTTCATTGCCTGCTAATGCCAACGAAAGGGGATGAGAGAGAGCGAGAGAGAGAGAGAGAGAGAGAGAGAGAGAGAGAGAGAAGGATAGAGAAAACGAGCGCGAGTCGCGAAAGGGTGCACTTTCCCCTCTTCCGGCACGTGCCCGCATTCGCCGGCGTCCTTCTCGCGAAGTCTCGACCCGCGAGGGTTATTTCCGGCATTCCCTCGACACGGAACGCTGATTCGCGCCATCGTTCGGCGATTGTAGCGTGGACATGTGTTCGCGCGAATCAGCTATTGCAAGATCTCTCTCTCTCTCTCTCTCTCTCTCGTCATTTGACGCTTGAAATCGCTCGCGTCGATATAGAGCTGTATTTTCTGTATTTTCTGTCCTCCGCTCCGCGCTGTGTTTCTGTAGTTTTAGCCGGTAGTTCCGTTGCGTCATCTCGCTCTCGAGCACGCTCGAGATCGGTGCGTCACGCGTACGATGCAAGCAAGAACAATTCTCCAGGGCATCGATCGAGTCGATTCGCGCGACACGCAGCCGCCTCGCGAGCCGAGTCCCTTGGGTAGGGGCGTATTTACTCGCGAGGCGTGATCCACGCGCGAAACATGAGGCACGCATGAGCCCGTTGCAATTGAGGCTCCGTCGAGCCTCGGTAATCGAGCGTCTTCATGTCGATGTCTTTATTCGAACGGACTTTTCTCCTTTTCCTCCTAACGAGCTTATTTTTTCTGCCGCAGCTCGTCTTTGTATCGGTCAATGGGCGGCGTGAGCGGCATGGGCAGCGGCCCAGGAACCGGAGGGAGTTACACCCTCCCCTACATGACGAGCAGCCCCACGGAATTGGCCTCGTCTCCACAGCTTTGGAACACTCAAGGTATGTATCAGTCACGAGCTAACCGGAGATAACTACCGGGGTTATCTATGTAGAAGCGTTCATCCGCTCGCTCGGACAAACGCTTCTAGCAGGTAGCAGGTAGGCCACTTGTCCGCAGTATTTTCGATGATAATGTTTTCCTTTCACCCTGGTTATCCTTAGAAAACATAATTTGAGAGGATGGTTTCTTAGCGATGGTTTCACTTGTGGTGAACTTCACTTGACTCTCGGATATTCAACTGTTAAAGCTAATCCCGAAAAAAAGAATAATGCCAAGACTCGAGAAGAAAGAAGTTCAAGGTCGAGTCGTTTGGTCTGTCGTATTGTTGGGGCAGGTTATCTGTGTTCTGTTGTCGAGTGAGAGTAAGTGCATTCCAGGTCAAGAAACCCAATGAAAGCCGGAAGGGAAAAGGAGCGAAAGAAATGCGGTTAAAGGGTCAAGTGGCATATTTACGGAGACTTTTATGTTTCCTTGTTTAACTTTTATTTTCTTGTTCGTTGCAGGTCTGAGTCCTGGCTTGCCTATGTCGGAGGATTACGGCAATAGCAAGTCCTCGACCACGGTGCCCCATCAATCATTACCGGCTTTCTCGCAGCCCTTTGGCACTCGGGCGAACTTTCGTTATAGTCCGTCGTACTCGAGCCAGCAGACAGGAGGGACTCCCGGCGGTGCTACCGACGCCACTTGGACATACGCGTCTCCTACGAACGATCAGCTGACGCAGTATGGCACTCCGTCGAGACGGCAGACCGTTAACCCTGCGACCACGCCGACGCAGCATCAGCTCAGCACAGGCACCGCAGGCTTAACTACACGTGAGTGTCTCTCGCCTTTTCCAATCACTTGACTTCAGTTATATCAAGCAGCGCGCTTTTTCTCCTCCGATTTGTCGGACCTCGGTTTGCGATATCGGAGAGGGTCGATGGGGTTAGGATCTATATCGACAATATAGACGGATCGCACGATACAATGACTGTGTGTTATCGGTAGCTCTTGACGAGCCGATAAAATGTAAGAATTAATATACACAATAAGCGAGACTGAAAATATCGTTTCAACTTGACAATCGCGGAACTCTGAGGGGAGAGATAATGAGAGAGAGGTCTTTGTTGAGGCTCGCGACGACGACGACCATCTCGGTGAGAAATATCCGCGGCGGATCAACCGCGTGCTCTCACGAATTAGATTATCCAATCGCGACGTTCGTGTTCCCGTCGATGAAATTGCGAGGATCGGCCAGAACGTCGCCGCGATAACGTGGCGAGTTACTCGATGTGTACAATTTTTACACGTGCAGTAGCACAGGACTCCGTCAACAATAATCCGACATCTCTTTCTCTATTTCGTTACATTGAGTCATCTCCGAAAAATGTCTTTTAGTCGTCGCTCGTCCGTCTAGTTCTCACAATCTGTCGTTGTACAACTCAGGCGACTCAGAGTCGCGGGATACAAGACGTGGCAAAGGTAATTTTTCGGTAGCAAGGTGAATGCGGAACTATAGGTGAGAGAGCGGACGTTGTCTCGCCCCAGGAGGTCCTCTCGAGGCGCCAGAGACCTTCCCGCTCGCTCGCTCGCGACGCGACGCCGGCATGTCTGTCGTCCCTGAAGTGGGCGGTGTTCTTTGATCCGACGGTCCTACGTTGAACGTATCTGCGAGTGTATACAGAAATAAATGAGCGCCGGCGCTAAAACTAGGTGGGACGTGCTGCTGTTGCTGCAACGTGCATGGGCCATGGATATCGTCAAAGCGCGCGAGGTCGATGGGCGTGTTGCGTGTACACATCTCTGGACTTACCAGATCTTCACATCTGATCTCGTCACCACAGCGACGAGTCATCACGGGTGAACCAATTAGTCGCGACAGTCTACCTGAGACAGTGCGGAGACATACCGGCGTCCCTCGTGCCGCCTCGTTCTTTATTTCTCTTTTCCTTCTTGTTTCCGCGCTTGCATTCTCCTGAGTCGCTAAGTCATCGTGTTTCTCTATTCATCGAGATTTTCACTTTGAAGCGGTGGAACGATACTCTTTTCTTTCGTTGAATGTTCGAGAAAGAGGGAGGGGGAGGGAGGGGGAGGGAGGGGGGGGAGAGGGGGAGAAAACATGGGTGCTCCCCCTCCATCGCAAATGACAAATCGACGCGAACCCAAACGTGTAGTGTAACATGTAGCGTTATGGCCGTCATAAATAACGAAGAACAAGATTCTCGATGATCCGCGCCAGTCGTGGAAAATACAACTCGGGGGCGAGATCGGGCTCATAGCCACCCGCAGCCGTCGATGGTCGATGGGTAGTTCTGACTAATTCACTCCACGACACTAAGTTAGAGTCGTCCCGGCGGGCTACTCGAATATCGCCTTATGGTTTCCTCTTACTTTCGGCCCTTGCGGCCTACCAACGCCCCTCAGGGTGATATTTCATGCGCGACTTGTTTTTGAGACGAATGAGTGAAGTATTGGTGAATATCGTCAAAATGTTTGTCGACTCGGGCGACAAGGAGGAAACTGTGACCAAATTAATTAACATCAATCGCGCCTTGTCGTCGTCGTCGTCGTCGTCGTCGTCGTCGTCGTCGTCGTCGTCGTCGTCGTCGTCGTCGTCGTCGTCGTCGTCGTCGTCGTCGTCGTCGTCGTCGTCGTCGTCGTCGTCGTCGTCGTCGTCGTCGTCGTCGTCGTCGTCGTCGTCGTCGTCGTCGTCGTCGTCGTCGTCGTCGTCGTCGTCGTCGTCGTCGTCGTCGTCGTCGTCGTCGTCGTCGTCGTCGTCGTCGTCGTCGTCGTCGTCGTCGTCGTCGTCGTCGTCGTCGTCGTCGTCGTCGTCGTCGTCGTCGTCGTCGTCGTCGTCGTCGTCGTCGTCGTCGTCGTCGTCGTCGTCTCGCTTTGCTCTCTTTCGTTTCTCACTATCTCTCATCAGCAAAGTTGCGAATCCCGCGCGGGGTGCAGTTGGAAAATTAGAGAATCGCGGGACCGACATGACATGACATGAAAATGAAGCGGACGATCGATAGAATAAGTGACGGCGTATCGTACGAATTTCCATCGTTATCAGGCAAGCCCGAAGATTTATCGCTCGCGACGGGTCACTGGCTGCTGACCAGTGACACGTCGACTTTGTAAATGAGAATCCGCGATATGAATTCGCGGTTTTGTTGTGTTTTATTGGCCTGTCGGGAGCAGATTAGCTAATAAATACAATGAACTCTTTTCCATGTCCGCAATCGGTCATACGCATTTTATAATTCACCTCGGTTCGCTGTCTCGCGCTAGTTGAGATCGCCGCCGTGCTTGCCGTCGCATCCGTCCAACCTTACCCCTGCTAGTCGCCCTCGATCCCGGTTATTTTCTTACGGAAGCGAAGAAACCCTTTGCAGAAACCTTTCTGCAGATCTGCTGATTTAGTTAAATTGAATCTACTGAAATCACCGCGTTCGTCTCGTCGTGGAAGCATCTGCCGCGAGCTTCGCGTTTGTCGCGGACGAAGAGAGAGTAGATTTTTTCATCGTCTACGATTTCGCGAGCTCCTTCGCGATAGCCGAAAGATCGTCCTCCTGGGATGTACGCACCTCCTCGCCGGTGCGAACGACGCGCCGGCCGGTCCGCCGCGGCACCTGTTTCCGCAACGTCACGCGCCGGCGGCGCGCGGCTATCGAAGAAGAGGCATTGATACGACCATGACCTAGGCTGGACGAATGCGTAGGCCTAATCTAGTTGTGTCTACGCGCGATACAGAGGTAACGATAGGGCTGTATCTAGCGGGGGCGCGTCGGCTTTACGATAATTCCGCCATAATTGTGTTCGCGAGCACGCGGTAACACCTAGGTATCTAATCGAATCCCAGCGTGTGATGTCAGAAGCGCACATACACACAGACGCGAGAAACGAGCGAGCGGACGAGTCGTCACCGAGTGCTTCGTATCGCTCGCGGAAAATACGAGCGATGACGACGACGTATCACCGCTGTGCGCGAGGACAATATCGACGAGTCTTGTTCCTCGTCGCTAAAATCCCGCGCGAGGGTCTCCTCCGATGTAAAAGTACGCTCGCGCATCGATGAGGTGTACAACGTGAAATTCGCACGTAGGATCGCACCTAGCGATGCGAGTAACCTTGGGCCGCGATAAGAGGCGATACTTAGGCGCCTGATGTCAGCGCGGTTCATTGCATGTGCAGTTGTTTTTTAGGAATATGCATATATAATAGAAAAAAGGGCAAAAATAGAACTTTGCAATTCTAAGAGGCGATCATAAATATGCGCGCTCAATATGTACAGCATTTCATATTCAAATACTCGTAGATAAAAAGTCGGTTGAGAGGTCTGTTTTTAGTCTTTAGTTTCTTTTTTTTTTTATAGCTGAACTAGTATTATTAGTTGTAACTTTATTTCTCTTCCATTCCATTCTGGCTACGTACTAATTTCGCTCTAAAGTAAAAAAATGCAATCTAGTTGCAGTTAAAAAGAAACATACCTACCTATTAGCACTCGCGGTCTCAGTACGTCTGTTAAAGAAAAAGAACGAAGAAGAAGAAGAAAGGGAAAAAAAGGCAGTGGAGATTTTCCTTTATCCGCCTCTTTGTCAACAACTTTGTCTCGCGTCGAATACACCGAGCGAGAGATAATTGAGCGACGATTAATTACAATCGCGATGCGTTAGCCTCTTTTATTACGATTCCGATCCGCGAGTTCGAAAGTTTGACGGGCAAAATGTTGCCCGCGCGGTATCGTTGCCGCGGGATAAGCCGCGACGATTAAAACCGCGGAATCTCCCACGAGTGCATTCAGCCACCTCCTCGTGCTTGTCCGCAATTAATTTTGACTCTTATGCAAACCCAAGTTCACGACCGAGGTCGATATCGCAGCGGCTCATTACACCGAAGCCGAATCTCCGAGAGATGCTTCGTCTTTTCCCCGTTTTCGGGACAATAATTAATAAGCTGTCGCTGATAACGTACGCCTCGGCGCGAGTACGTTGAACGTTAAGTGCGCGACTATGGCCGTTATTTATTTTAGGTAACATAGTGACGACGCAGTGATAAAGTGCCGCCGCGCTCCGCGAGAAGTTCACGGAGAGGTCGACCGGACTTCTTTATCCGCGCGTGTGACGTAAAAGTTCGCCGTGCGGGAGCAATGAGTCAAAGTCGAAAATATCGCTTTCTTAAATTGTCTCTCCGTTAAAATAACCGTCTCATTGAGGGAATATCTCGGTCGCTCCCTCGCGATATCACACGGCATAACTTCATTTTCTTGCTCTCTCTCTCTCTCTCTCTCTCTCTCTCTCTCTCTCTCTCTCTCTCTCTCTCTCTCTCTCTCTCTCTCTCTCTCTCTCTCTCTCTCTCTCTCTCTCTCTCTCTCTCTCTCTCTCTCTCTCTCTCTCTCTTTCCCTCCCTCTCTCTCTCTCTCCTCTCTCTCCTCTCTCTCTCTCTCTCTCTCTCTCTCTCTCTCTTTTCCACGTGCACGCCGAAGATTTCGAGAGACGTTCGACGAGTCCGTTGTTGTTGAGAAGTGAGTGAAAACATTCCGAAGGACTTTGGAAATTTGCCATCACGACCGAAAATGAGCCGAATGTATTCGTCTTCCGCTGTTCCCCCTTTTTTCTCTCTTTCTCTTGACACTTAACGCGCGACATCACATGGGAACGAATTGGTCGAATTTGTCGTGCGGTTCTCTTTTTCCATTTTTCCCGTTCTCGCTTCGTTCCCATAATTGACAAAGTCAAGTGGTTCCGTTTTGACTCCCTTTCGATCGTCCGTGTCGCCGCTCGTTCGCGCGAAATTACCGCAGGCCTTTATTCGTTTATCGCTCGTTATTATAATAACACGATCATCGTGTAATCGGATGTCGGTAATCGGATACGCAACAGAGATTAAAACGATTAAGACGCGCTCACGAGCAGATATCGAAAGAGAGATAGGAAAAGAGATAAAGGGAAAGAGAAAGAACACATCCCTTTCTCTCTCTCTCTCTCTCTCTCTCTCTCTCTCTCTCTCTCTCTCTCTCTCTTTCTGTTTTTACGAGGGATGTATCGACCGAAGGACGGGGCGAGAGAAGGAGAACAAGTTTAAAGACCTTAAGTGGTTCTTCAGGGTCCGAAGCCTGCGGTTACACATGCCGCACCATCCGGACTTCATTTCGGCAGAGACGCAACCTTTTAACATACCGCGACCTCGAGTGTTTCGTAGTTCACCACCGGGCCGGTTTAACTTTAAGCGTGCCAGATATCACCCCATTTATATGGGGGAGCTGCCTCCCTCCGTCGCCTCCTCCGCCAGTTCCTTCGTATACGTCGTATGACGTCGGTGCGACGAGCGACCGTGCATCATCCTGAAGGACCGTGCACGTGGCTGCTCCTAAATTAATCCGACCGATCCGGAAACTTGTCTTTTTTTAGCCCCCTCCTTTCTTTTTTCTCCCTCTTTCTTTCTCTCACTCGAGTATTTACGGTCGAGATGATCCTCGGAGAACCAGCAACAACGGGGGCTGGTCTTGTGTCCCCGCGACGGAATTGAGAAAGAATCGCGAGAGTCCCGAAGGCGAAACGATCGCTTTGTTAATTTTACAAGGCGAATGAGATCGAACGGAGATAAGTCGGAATAACGAGGCGAGGTCGTAAATAACGCGCTGCGACGGTAATCGCGCGGCGACGCGTCGTGCACAACCTGGCCGGCGACCTGCACACCTGGCGCGCGTGGTCACACGAGCTTCCTAGATGAAATAATAAAGTAAGCGGAGGGTGGCCGGAGAGGGCAGATTAACGGCGGTCAAAGGAAACAAAAGCGTAGGTGGACGAGGAGAATATTAATGCGACGATAACGCGCACGGCGCGCTGCTTATTATCGCCGTCGCGTCGTCGGTGCGATCATCTGACTGTGAAATCGGCCTCACCGCAGAATGTAACGATCCGCAATCTGATTTATCATCTGAAGCCGCGCGCGCCCGTTCGCGATAACGAAAATCGTCTCATTATCTCACGGCTCTCTCTCTCCCTCTCTGGTTTTTTTGCGTTACTTGCTGCGGTTCTCTCTCGTCGCAGCGACACTCCGCATTGCTGCACAGGGATAGGGTGATGCGAAGGTCGAGGAATGCACGTGCAACTGCGTAGTTCAGGCGCAAAAGTGCAACGCGAACCCACGCTCTTTGTCGTAGTTCGAGCGGGGGTTGGGGGAGCGAGGGAGGTCCCATAGGGAGGAGGATACGTCAGCTACTTCTTGCTTACATAATATCCGATTGCTTCCCAGTCCGATTCCGCTCCTATCTCAAAGAGATTCTCGTGACCTCCTCGTCCTCGTGTCGGTACAGTGGTAACTCAATTCCCGCATTTTAATTCCCCCGTCTCGTTCCCCTCGCGCGTCCTTTCATATCTCATTACGGACGCTCCTCCACGGAAGAAAACAGCGCTGTTGTGGGCGTCTCGTAGAGCGGCGCGATCGATCTCGCCCCTGATTTAATTCGACACGATTTCGCCAAAAAGGCATAAAGTAAAATTGTCATCTCATCGATGTCGCGAAATTTCACAGACAGGAGCCTCATGTTTGATTTATTGAACCCTTTCGCGTTACTTTATCGCTGATTATATCGCGTATCAAGTTTACGAGATCGAGAGTTCATTTCCGCATTGTTCGCGCGTCGTCGCAAGGGGAAAAGAAAGGAAGGAAGCGGATCACACCTCTGTCAAAGAGACACGTGTCTTCTCTCTCCCTTTTTCCACCCGCATTCGCGATTGCTTCGCGCACATGCGACCACATTATTAATCCGGCGATTAATTAATCCCACTATTTGTGGGTCAAGGTGGCGTCACGAAGGCGCGAGAATGCAACTCGACCCGCACGTGTATATATATATATATACATACGTAGTAATGCTCCTCTTCTCTCTCTCTCTCTCTCTCTCTCTCTCTCTCTCTCTCTCTCTCTCTCTCTCTTTCTCTCTCCCCCTCCGAGAGAGTTCGTAGGACTCGAACACGGCATCAGCAGCTTCTTGCTTACCCACATGCAATATCCGATTGCTTCCCAGTCGCATTTCTGCCGGATGTGCTGCTCGCGTACGCCGACCTCTCTCCGCGACTTCTCGCTTCTTCTCCGGTCTACTTTTCTTCTCTTTTTGCACCGGGTAACTCGAGACAAATTCTCTCATTTTTTTTTTCATCCGTCGTCAAGTGACACACTCGCTCGCTAGTTAGCTAGCCCGACCTCTCTATTGAGGAAAATTTTTCAGCGCGCGAATCTTGGCGCGAATTCGCTCGAATGTGGGTCTTCGCGCCGACGCGCTCGGCGGTGATTGGCGTTGCGAACGGACTGCGTCAACGCAAAAAACGGCAAACGGCGTTAAACGGCACTTTTTCGTTTGGATTCCCGCGAGGGAATGCAGGTAATTAACGGCGGTAAATAATTTGGCAGGTACGCGACAAACGCTCCTCGATATGGAGAGCGATGTAGAGGCGCGCGACGCGACCGCTCGGTCGACTTGCGTTGTTTTATCGGCGAACACCGGAAATTCTGATAACGCCCGCCCATGTCCGTTTCCATCCTTCCCCTGACGCCTTTGTATTTCCTGCGGTCTTCCTTCTTTCGCTCTAGTCGCTGCTCCTCGTTCCGTCATGTTTCCCGTGATTTTCATGTTTGGCCTTGGCGCTCTACAAAATTATGAATAATCGTTAGCGTTATTTCAGCGGGAGAGCATGCATATGACAATAGAAAAAAGAATATCGCGAAAAGGGAAAACTCGTCGCTTTGACGAGTCGCTTGACTATCCCTGCTAGTAACAGTAGTTTGCAGAATTCACTAATTATTAATCATTAATTTTTTATCTTCTTATACTAATATTTGATAGAATCTGTGCTAGAAGAATACTGGAAAAAAAGCAGAACGTTGATTGATTACGTTTTATTCTATATAATAATTTGTCGATTAACTACAACTTCAGCAGTTTTTTAGAAATCATCAGGAGTGCTAATGTCGAGTCATTAAATCTTTTATTGCCATTAAAATCAACATTGGAAAATCATTTAGGTTTTCCATATTTTTTCCTCCAAGGCTGTAAATTTTCTATGATGTCATCCCCCTATTGATAACAACAATTTTTTCTTTTCTTTTTCCGTTACGGCTATGAGAAACTTAACTTAAGAAGTGAACGTTCTCGCTAGATATTTCGCGTGTTCCGGAATAGCTCGCATTTTACGTTGTCGTACGGTCCGAAGAGCTATGCATATTCATAGTCACGTAATGGGAGTGAGGGGACATAACGCGAGCTGGCGAAACAATAGTTTCCGAATGGTCACGTAAAAAGAGGCCACCGTAGATATGGTTGCTCCCGTGTTCAGAGACACGTGTCGCCAATTTCTTGTGTCCATTGCGAATACTTGCGTCGCGTGTTTCACCGAACCTGAAGATCGCGGTGATCGATTGGCTAATTAGCAAATTTTTATGCATCGTGAAAATTGTGTGCTGGTTCTATGATAAGAAAAATGGTTATATGGTAGTTATATGGTAGAAAAAAAGAGTTGTTATATAATATTGTGTAAAATTGTGTATGATTTATTTTAGTAAAATACAATTTATCATAATACAATTATATAATATTATATAAATTTATTACATGATAAAAAAGAAAAAGAGAGAGCGTTATCCAATTAGGCGTATGTAAGTGTGTGCGATCCGTCTATTTGGTTTTTCACGAGCACAACTCGATGCGTTATAAAACAATAGTGCACAACATCGAGGCGGAGTACTATACGGAGGGCCGTGAGTGCGTGAACTGCGGTGCGATTTCCACACCTCTATGGCGTAGGGACGGCACAGGGCATTACCTCTGCAACGCGTGCGGGCTCTACCACAAGATGAATGGAATGAATCGGCCTCTGGTCAAGCAACCACGCCGTCTGGTAAGGAAGATTTCGCAACACGCGCTCGTCGCAATCCGAAAAAGCGGAACGAACAGTTCGAGGAAATCGATTGCGATAGACTCGGGAAATTGTTAGATTTTTCCAGTCACGAAAGGACGTTGTCCTTTCGATCGTTCGAGAAATTCCATCATGATCTTTTCATCAAAACGTTGAACGCGTTACTGGCCATCTAATATTCCAGTTGTCGCAATGTCTCGGAAACCGTAGAGTTCCACGGATCGGATTTGCCACGAGACGCGAGTAGACACGGAAAAAATTTCAGAGAGAGAGAGAGAGAAAGAGAGAGATAGTGTGTGAGAAAATGAAAAAAAAAAGGGAGAGAAATAGAGAGAGAGAGAGAGAGAGAGAGAGAGAGAGAGAGAGAGAGAGAGAGAGAGAGAGAAATACGAAAAGACTGTCCAGGAGCCTATGTGGAAATTCGCCCGTATTGTTCTGCCCTGTTGTGGTTCGTAAGTCCGAGGTCGAAGGAACGCCGTATTTGATTTGAATCTTCGATTATGAAATCACAAAACTGCTGTTCTCATTGCGCAATGGCACGACTCGCAAGAAAAAAGAGGGAAAAAAGAAAAAGAAACGCACCACTAGACGCGAGTATATGTTTAACACGCGCAGCAAAGAAACACCCCCTAACGCATGGCCTCATGTCTGTTTCAGTAGCGGACCAGGGCGATTTCTACAAAGGCTTCTGTGGGTATAGTGGCACCCGTCGGGGCGCCTTCGGGGAGGAGAAATCGAGCCGTCGTTTGGTAGGTGTCATCCTCCCAAATCAGCATTCTCTCTCTCTCTCTCTCTCTCTGTCTCTCTCTCTCTCTCTCTCTCTCCTCTCTTCTCTCTCTCTCTCCTCTCCTCTCTTCTCTCTCTCTCTTCTCTCTCTCTCTCTCTCTCTCTCTCTCTCTCTCTCTCTCTCTCCCCCAGCTTCTATTTTTTTTTCTTATTATAAAGTACATTCTCCCGTGTCTTTTTTTCCGTCTCTCTTTCCGTCTTTCTCCGTGTGTCTATACATCATCTCTTGCTATCATCGATCCTTCTTTCGCGATTCTTTCCCCTTTCCGCAAAATTATTTCCTCCTCTCATCGCCCCCGTTGATCGCTACATGCGGTTTCGCGAGCATGGATTGCAGTAGTTTAGATTAATTTTCACGACATGATAATAGGTTTGAAGGAATAATAGAAATTGAGAATGTCAACACTGAAAGTCCATGCCGGGAAACCGTCTCCAAGTGGTCAACAATGGACAATGATTTTTCAAATATCCCGAGTTTCCCTCGATCTCGTTATAACGCGTTGCATCAAGCTTTCTTTGTATCATATCATATACATTGGACGCTGAGATCGACTATTGCGACGCAAAAGCGGCCATCGTTGGCTGTTTTTGTCGTCGGTGTCGTCAATTCCTGTGGAGAACACGACTCGTCGTGTTCGTCGTAGCTCCGAGGTGCCACTATACCCATACGTACGAGCACTCTCTCGCTCGCGAAATCACGTGCAGCCTATTGTAAAAAAAAAGAAAAAGAAAGTACGTTTCGACGTTGTCATCGAGCTTCGATCGCACAGTTTTTCCGATTATACGGAATGATTGTTTGTATTTGTTGAGTTTTTCCAGGCTCACGTGATCTTCGTGACCGAGGGTGGCTCACTTTTCTTCTTCGCTACTTTACGGTATTTGCACTGAAATTTTTCTGACGACGGTAATCCGACCTAATCTTGACCCCAAGTTCTCACATTAGGACGGTCATTAATAACAGCTTAGCGGTCAAAAGTAAATGATCATTCAACACCACAACCTTCTAAATGCTCGTTAAATAGTCTAAGATTCTTTATGCTTTGACACTTTCACTATTATTTTTCAAAATATTAGACTTGCAAATCTCTTCCTAATATTTTCGTCTCGTTGATAAGTTATACTTGATCAAGATATCAATCATGCTTTTTACAATTTCTCTCAGCTACGGATCCATTTCCCAAAAGACCATTTCATCGTTATCCTCTCCATCATCAGCCGAATACATAGTGACATGTATATAATAAAGATTTCGTATTTCCGCAGTCTGCTACTAGACGCATGGGTCTCGCTTGCAGCAATTGCGAGACCACTATGACGTCACTATGGCGTCGCAACACAATGGGCGAACCGGTTTGCAACGCTTGTGGTCTTTATTATAAGCTGCATGGTGTTAACAGACCGTCCACCATGAAAAAGGACAGCATTCAGACGCGAAAGCGAAAGCCCAAGGGCAGTAACATGAAAACATCCGACACGCCTCTTTCCACCAATGTCGCACAATGCACGAACAATAACAACAACAACAACAATAATAACGTGAAAATCGAACCAGGTTTGTATATATATGTATATATATATATATATATATATAAATTTTAATATAATAATAATATATAAATAAAATTTTTAATTTTATTCAATCAATATATTTAAGTTGATCAATTTAGTTAATCGACACGAGAGATTAATATACAATGTGTATCAAATTTTGAGATGTTTGAAATTAATTTTTTCGTTTTCTTTTTTGTTGTTCCAGATACATATGGCGATATTCGAGTGACACACACTGGAGTGTTGCAAGGGACATTCCCGAACACTCTCTACGGTAGTCCACAGGCCCCCGGTAGGGCTATGGCCTATCCGGCAAGCAACCTCTATTATGACATAATCACTTCGCAGCAGCAGCAACACCAACAGCTGATGGATTCTCATTCGCCCAAGATCAGCGGTGATTCTCCACCTTGTGCGACGCGCGGCCAATCGCCGGACCATCACCAACTTACCTCGCCACACATCGTCACTCTGGGCAGTCCATCGACCAGTCCGAACGAATCCAAAATTATGTTGGACAATGGTCCTGCGCGAAACTGAACTGAATCTCCTCTGAATTGTCGTGGTGTCTTTTTCGTATGTGTCAATTTTTTTTTCTTTTTTGTGTGTGAATGTATTAAATGCGTGAGTCAAAAATCCAATATGTTATAATCTGTACTCGGAAGTGTACATAATGTAGGATAGTCCCGATCGATAGTGCTACGGTCAAATTTGTAGATAATTTTCTAGTGTGAATTTTTCAAAAGTACAAGAGTCTTGAAATAAAATTGCGGTCTGATTACGATGAGTACGTCGTGTACTGTGAACGTCACTAGGAAATGTGTAACGACCGTACCTGTAACAAAGAGGGAAAGAACCAAATAATCGTGATATCTATCAAACGGATATTCCTTGCGTTACGACGTATAATCATGGGACCCTTTGTTGTGATATGCGAATCATAGTAGTTTTCCGACGAAGGAATTTTGGGACTTTTTAGTTAACGCGAAATCATCGAGTTCGATTTAATTCTTTCCATCTTAGCTTTATTCTATATTTATGTACATTTTATTATTTCATCTGTAATATCTTTGTAGCACTACACATTTTATCATTTATAGACTCTAGTATTTTATTTTGTTTGTTATTGGTCGTAATGCTACTAAGTAAACAACGTATATTTATCATGAGTGGACGAGCGCGAGAGATGACAATAGAAAATTGTCATTTCTTAAAAATTTAGAATGTTATGGTGCACTCTTTGCGGTTTGAGATACGTCTGTTTTGCGTTGGTTTCATTATCGTTCAACGTTGTTAGTTATATCTCTTATATCGTTATATGTCTTATATTTTTCAACCAAAGAATCTTTTAACCAAAGAATCCATGATGAATATACGTTGCTGTAGATTTCTTTTTTTTTAATGATATTTGTGTAATTGTAGGATATGTCAACAATATGAGCGCGTACATACGCGGACGCACGTGTAAATCGGTAAAATATACGATTGTTTTTTCAAAACTGCTCATATTGTGTATGAACGTTGGAATATTTCTACTGAAGAAAATGTAATCGTGACAAATTTCATTTCTGATATCATATTATTTAAACAACACGTTCAGCATCAATTTATGTTATTCAAATAAGTAAAATTATTAGTAACAATACAACTAATAACAAATAATGACCTTGCGTGAGAGCGATTAAGATAGATAATTGGTAATACTAGTAGTAATAAGTTAGCACTATGTCCATTATACGAGCAAACATATCTGACGGCTATGCATATATATTTTTTCTATTTTATTTTGCGATAATGCGTCACGGTGAATTTTAATCTAACTAAAAAAAAAATATATATATATATATTCAAATAAAAGATGGCAAATTATATCAGTATGTCCTGCTCTGATATATAGCATAAATTACTTTTTTTCTATACGGATTAGTTATTTTATAAAATGATTATCTCTTTTATATAATTTAAAAAATGATTATAAAATAATTGTAAAATTATTGCCTTTTTGACCCGAATTACCGGCAAACTTATCTATGTAAATTTTAACATTTAACATTTAAGTATCAGTTAGAATAAGGTTCACCAGCATGTTGCATTTCGCCGACAAATATGTCATTATGTTTTACATAATATATTTTTAGTGTTGTACCGAAATACAACGGTTATTTTTAAATAAAAAGGGATCTAAGATTGTAGTTGGGAAGAACTCAGGTAAATCGTCCTTTCGACTTTCCTACATGCTCACGCTAAGTATATAATTTTTGAAAAAAATATATTTTTACAAATTTAGAAACACTGAAAAATATACTTGGAATGTAAGTTTTGTCGTATGTAGAGTGCTCTAAAAAATATGTTATCTTGTGTTTAAGTAATTATCTTTTTTAACTTAGTAATTTAATTTTTTTCCTTTTTGTATCATTGTGCATATAATTTATGATTGCGATGTGTGACAGAAATTGCTATTAACGCATGTTTCAAAAACATTTTTCTACAGATTGTGTCCTTGTTATTTAAAAGCGAAACGATGCACCTTTGGGCTTATCAAAATAGATTATCTGATATAGCTCGTCGTATGAAGTTCCTGTGGTACAAAAACACTATCCAGCTGACGAGGCGAGAAGTCACTGAACGACCAGAGGAAAAGTTCATCCTTGTGTATTTTTGGCGATAATACAGTGTCTCGCCCTAATCTCTGTGTGAGCCGCACACGCTTTTAGTAATCTCGCTGACGCAAAGGCGTGGAGTAAAAGACCACGCACAAAATCTTTCTATTTACACTTGGTTGCGAAAATTATCAGCTATTTGAATTATTTTTCTGTGTATTATTATCAGACACGTTTATCACATTATTATTTAATGCACTCTTCAATTTTTAATCAAATGTAATTTTTATTCAATCCCCTTGTTAGACAAATTTTATTTAAAAGATTGCGTTTAACTTCTTGGGGGATATTAAACGAACAGAATAATTTTTACCTCGTGTTATAACAATTTCGATTTTGAAATCGATAATACTTTCAATTTACCCGTTATTCATATAATATATTCAGATATCGTTTCGCTATTAAATAACATTGGAACGCATTTATTGTAGAAAAATAGGATCTTATGCCTTACATGACATTATGTTCACGCCATTATGCTATTATGTATCTGGATAATTGTGCATACTGGAGCGTCGCCTTATTACGATGGTGTCTCACCTGAGGTGGCTTATCAGCGGTACCCCGTGTGTGCTCTGTAACCATGACGACAACCCTCCGCCCTCGTGCTTCATTCCCCCTCCTCAGCCAGTTGATAAGAGATCCGGAGCTGCGTGTATATCTATTGCTATATGTATTGCACTGGTATGTGGTGATACGACAAGGTAAACCGATCTCCCTCATCACAGGGAGCTCTACGAAAATAACCCGGGATGAAGGTAATAAACCATCAACGCGTCACGGATAGAATTCTTCTCATAAAATCGGATTTTTTGCAGCTTGACCATAAATTTTTCCTCCTCGTTCGTGAAACTGTACCAATCAACTTTCGAGAATTTCAAGATTTTTCTACGATCGTAATAACTGAATACCTGAAACTGAATAACTGAACTGAAAGAGATGAATTTTGATTCTCTTCATCTTCCCTCAAAGTATATATTCGAGTTGGACCGACATGCATACTCAAATGCGCTGACATAATGTCCATTTTTCAGGATCACGCATACGCACACGCTCCATTCTACCCTCGAGCAAGTAAAAATTACGCCGCCGACGAATTTCCATCCCTTCCATCGTCGTTTCACCACCACGACTTCGCAACGAAGAGGAAGAAGGAGTGGAAGAGAGGGATGCCGGGGCACCACACAGGTATCAAGATGGCGTCCGCAGAGGCGGAAGGCGGCTCAGTATGAAACGGGCGGCAGCAGTCGCTTAATCGTCGTCAGTCAATATTTGACGGGCTCTCGGATCAAATCGAAGCTTCGATCTCGCGCTACCAGGCGGCAGGCCCGCCGACGACCACGACCGCGACCACGGCGATCACGACGAACGCGATCACGAAGAGCCAGCAACAGCAGCCACCTCGCACTCCTCCTCGTGGAAGCGCACCTGTGTCAAGCGCGCGCCGCGTGCGTGTCTCTCGCTCACAAACACTCGCGAACTCAGCAGAAGCGGCGTGAGTCCGAGCGACGACGCATCGGGGCACGTCGTACGTCGAGCGTCGCGACGAAGCATCAGAGCTAGTTCTCCGGGAGGAACACGCACGCAGTCTGACTTCCTCGACTCGCGACCTCTTCGTCTTCAACTACTTGTTGCACTCGAAGTAAGTCGAAAACCCTTGCCGTTTTCTTTCTCTGTACATATATTTTTTCTCTCTCCGTCGCTGAGCGAATATTCCTCAAGGCGGGAAGAGCATTACCTGTGAACTGACTTGTCGCTTTTATGGCTCTTAGCGCGATATTTTATCGTCGACGGCTTTATAAGTTGGGAATTATGAATGTTCGGTTTTGCGGCAAATATTTTATATACAAGTCAGTGAATTAGCGCGCGTGCAAGCGAGAAGGCGAGTGAGCGAGCGAATCCGATCTGCGACCGGTCAATGATAAAACGTAAATACGACGAACGATTGTATAATTGCGGTGGATTTTGTAATTCCAATGCGAGAATCACACGGAGGCGACGCGACGTAGGAGCGCAGATCGTTTGGATGTGGACATGGAAAAACGGCTCCACGCATGCAACACGTGAAAAGCGCATTCCCGGGACGGGCATCGCGCTAAACGCTCGGAAAACGCTCGCGTGCTTCGATCGGTCGCCGGCCGACTCATCGGAAGTGTTCTCGCTCGGGCCGGCCGATCTATGCGATTTTATCCGATTGAAGTCGGGAGAGCCGGCGAATGAAAGTGAGCATCCGTGGTAACGCGAGCGGCGCGTGCACGAAAGGAACACTTGTGTTTTATGTTCGACTCGCTTCGACACTTGTGTTTTGTGCGCAGCCCGTTTCCTCCTCTTCCTCGTCAACGCGTTTCGACGTCGAAATCTAGACACGGGCCCTGTCGACTCGGCCCATCTGCCTCTCTCTCTCTCTCTCTCTCTCTCTCTCTGTCTCTCTCTTTCTCTCTCTCTCTCTCTCTCTCTCTCTCTCTCTCTCTGTCTCTCTCTGTCTCTCTCTCTCTCTCTCTCTCTCTCTCTCTCTCTCTCTCTCTCTCTCTCTCTCGCTTCGCCTCATTTTTCTCACTCTTGTGCTCTCCTTCAAGGTCTCGGCTCAATTCATCGATTTGTCTTCACCATTCGAAAACTTCCACTCGAGAACGCACCTCGAAACTCGCGTGATTCTCCAACTTGTACTCGACGTCTCATTCGCGATTCTTAATTAATCTCGTTTGGAGGCCGGGAGCGATTTATAATAGCCTTCTTCGTGCATACGACTGGTCTTTGTGGAAAATTACACCAGCTACCGGCGGATGGCGCGTATGAGCTCATTAACGTAGGCTCCCAGTTCGCGCGAGAAAATATTTGCAGATCTTGAACGCACGGCGCTCTCGACGCTCTGGCATATTAATTATTTTTAATGTTTAACGAGTCTACTTGCGTGCTGGCGAGATACCTCCTGAGCGACGACGTCCGGATTGCTCGATTATAGCACTGTCGAAAGCGCAAATATTAAATCGATAACTCACATTCGATACAACAGCAACACTTTTCTCTCTCTCTCTCTCTCTCTCTCTCTCTCTCTCTCTCTCTCTCTCTCTCTCTCTCTCTCTCTCTCTCCCTCTCTCTCTCTCTCTCTCTCTCTCTTTCTCTCATATACCGACGGTAACGACTGAGAGGATCCCGAATGCTTCGTAGCCGCGATTGCAGTCGATCTGAGCGTGCTGCAACTTGAACATTGCCATTGCGCTCGTCCCGATTCACGCTCGATTGTCACACGTGTGTGTGACGGCATTTTTCTAAATTCACTCAGCCGTCCGGTGAAGAAAAAAGCCCGGCACCTTTTTACAAAACGACTCCCGCGCGCCGTGAAAAGCTCGGCAACTCGCTCGCAAAAAGCCGAGCTTTTTGCGAAAGGGCTGAATTCACAGAGATATCCCGTGATACATGTCCACGTGTTCGGTTCGATTTCCAGCGAGTCAACTTGGATTTGCGATCGATCATATGACGCACGGTCAGCGGCGGTAACGATGGGGCAGGTCCAGCGAACTTGTTTCACTTCACTCCGCGCGTACGATGAAGCCGAATCGAGTCGCAAAGTTTCTCCTTTAAATTTTTCACGAGCCTACCAGCCCTTCGAAACATCGCCGCGACTCGCACCCGGTCTCTTCGGGTGATCTCGTCGCATCGATACCGTTCGCGATCTCCTCGCGAAGCTCGCCGGCACGTCGTCGATGTCGCGGTGCTCGTCGCGGCGTCTGGCACGAAACTATCCGTCGCAAGGAAGAGATACACCCGTGGCGCAGATAATATTTTATTAATCATTAAGCACATAGCCGCCGTACATATAAGATAATGGGAATAATATCAGGCAATGACGATAATACTGTTTGTCGTGCACGTTAATTATTGGTCCCTCGCGCGCGCCGCGCCGCGTCGCGTCGCGCCGTGTCGCACTGCGCGCCGTCGGCGATGATCGTCCGATCATTGATTGTCTCTGGTGTCGATTTCGCACGGAAGCGATAGCAGGTGATTTCGGGAAAGCGTTCGTGTCGGCACGATGAAGGCGGAACCGCGATGAACGGTGCTTGTCTGCGGGAAATATTTTTTTCAATTCGTTTAATTTTTTTTCGTACAATCCGTCGCGTGCGATGAGGCATCGCGAGGATACGCGAGACGTCGTCCCAGAACGTGAGACAACGGGAATGTCACTAATGACGTCGGTAAGACGAAAATTAATCATCGTTAAATGCGATTCGCGAGAGAGAGAGAGAGAGAGAGAGAGAGAGAGAGAGAGAGAGAGAGAGAGAGAGAGAGAGAGAGAAGCGCGCCTCGCCGACCATTTAGTTCCCAACACGAGCCCAGCGTAAATCATTTTCTTCTCAAGGCCTCGCCGGCGTTCCATTCGCGGTCGCGAGCGATCGAAATACAAATATTGGAATAAAAAGTTTCGATCCCGTCTCGCTACGTTGCAGAAAGACAAACATCGCTATGGCGGTAATACGCGTGTTGTCTCGTCGTCGTCGTCGACAGCGACGGCGACGGCGACGGCGACGGCAACGGCGACAGCGTCGGAATGACCGAACCTGGTTGCTTTTCATAGACTTGCCCTGTACCTGCAGTTTCCGTAATGTTAGGCTTGTTCTCTTTATCAGAGCCACTGCTGCGCTTGTATTCTTTTTCCCTTCAATGTTAAATCACATGTTTCTTTCATCCTCAAGAGCGTAATTTCATTCAGCGAAGAAGAATAGGCTCTTTTCTTAGAAGGTCAATACGCGGCTCTGTAATCTCCTCTCATACCTTTCTCTCATTTTCTTTTCAACTTTTGTCTTCTTTTCCTTTGGGGCTCGTGTCACGATCGAAAAATTCGAACGCCTTAGTCATCATCGTCTAAGTTCCGAGCTCTCAACAAATGGCCGTATTTACGACGAAAACAATGAGCGAGGAATTTGTTTGCGCAGCGCGCGCTCGCGGCGGGAGGAGGCGTTAAGCTCGTCGACGTTGAAATCGAGACAGTTTCCACTCGTTGTAAATTTCAGTAATTGCGCCGTAAAACCTTCTTCATCCTTGCTTCATCGTCCCGCGAACAACGTAATGTCACGTCGCGTCGCGTCGTGTTGTCAAACACGCGCGCCGATTGGGCCATAAAGGATTTCTGCGCTTGCCGTTTCGGTGCACGAGCTTGCACCGTATGCTTGCGAGGCAATGGCGAATTGTAATAAAGTTTTATTGGCTTCTCGGTACTCTCAACACGTGCCGCCGGCACGAGGAGGATACGCTCGCGACCTCGACATTATCGCATGGCGTCTCGAAAAATTATAATCTATTTCGAATCGTTCAGTCCACGTCGTTCAGGCGACGTCGTTCGTCACGGAGCCGCGATGTTACTTTGCAAATTTGACGCGAGGAAGAAAAGATGGCAGCGATAGCGACGACGAGTCGCCGAATCCCCCTGCAGAGAATCTGGAAGGTCTCGAGTGTCTAATAATAGACGCGTAGTAAATTATACGTAGACGACACGTCGCGCGAGGAACGCGTAGATGTACATAGGAATTACATTCCGGCAGAAATCGGCCGCACCGAGCCTGCCGAGGTGGAATCGCTTGAGGTCTTCGAGAATTTCAGAAGTCTGCAATCGCGAATGATATCGCGCGTCGGACGGAAATGTTTTTGCAATTAACGCACGTCCGTATCCGAGATTTTTATATATGTGAGTGTGCGTGTATGTGTGTATCGCGCGGGGCATTATTTGGACTGCATGATGTCACGCGTAAAAACGGGACATCACTTTCACGTTAGATGCTCAGCGATACGGATTCCCACGCGCACGACACACACACATGCACACATACGGTCACATTTTTCTCACTCACGACGATAAGGGATTTCTACATGGCTGATAAAGAAAATGGCCTCGACGAGTATACGCACCTCGCCTCCGGGACGGTATAAATCCCACCGTTGCTACGCGCGATTTTTGCGCTCCGATCGCGATCGCGATCACGATCGCTCGCGCGCGCGCGTGCGCTTGTGAAAAAATACGCGACTTCCTCGCGCTTTTTATTTCCATGCTTGAGCTCACTCGCGATCACGATCGAGCAATATCCCACGGCACTGCGCACTTCATCGAAGTCACCACCGCGGCTTAGCGAACTTAGCGACAGGCTCTCTTTGCTAGAGCAACACGTGTCCGCGTGTTTCTCGCGTGCACGTGGACTTCTTTTTCATCCGTAGATGATAGATTGGGGATTGTAGCCCGTCTTGCTGGCGTATTTTCGTTCGAGAGGAGAGAACAAAAGAGAACAAAGTTCCACCGACACTTCAGGTTACACAAATCTTCGAAAGCAAACAAAAGACGTTCGGTCGATCATCCGTCGCATTCCTCTGCATCCACGCATTCCCGAGCTGATCCATTTCACGACAGAGAAGCCACAATAGACACGCGATGCGCGACGATACGCACTTAGACTCGACACTCGGCGCGGCGCTCGTCCGTCGACGAGTTCCCGAGGACTCTGGAATCGCTAGCAAGGAACAAGATGCTCGGTTCTCGCCGGCTAGGAGCGAGATGCTTCGCTCGACGAGAAGCGGCGAGTAGAAGTAGCGGCCCTACGCGTTCCTGGCGGACCCGACGACTGAAATTATCATTTTAGCTGATATACTAGCTAATGT